ATTAAAAAACACCATTAAGTTTTGCAATCGGCAATGGCTCTACATCCCAGTATTTATCTTCACAGGCCATGCCCATTCGAGTAAATTAGCCGAAAGGAATTGCACCAACTCATAATATTTTAAGGGTTTTTTTTTATTATGCGTCATGAGGGCTAGGATAATGACGTATTTATTGTGTTTTTTTATCATTAATTATATATTAATTTATATAAAAAATAAAAAAATTAATAATAATTTTAACATTAATAACATATAGATATTTTTTATTAGATAATTAGTAAAATTAATATGAATGTTTAATTTTATTATATCTTAATAATAATAAAATACAATAAATATATATTTAATTTGTATTCTTAATACTAATACGTACGATAAAAAAATTTTATATTTTAATTTTAAAGTAATTTAATAAAACAATGTCAGTTCTAAAGGGGAGGAAAAAATTAAAGATTTCGAAAGTGGACATAGGTTGGGTGGTCCTAGACAAAGACATAGCTCTAATTCACGATTGGTTACAAATGAATTCACTTTAGTTGATTCCATCGAATAGAGACGTAAATAGATGAATTTGTGTTATTAATTATAAATCAAAGACTTCGGAGAAGACTTGTTAATCTGAATACAATTTTGGTCCGTTGGTCGGTTGAACCATTCTAGCCGGATAATAAGTAAAGCGAAACTCTTAAATTTACCCCTAATTGCGGGGGTTACCCCTAAATATAGAGATAGGAAAAGATTTATCCTTTAATTAAATGTTGAGATAAATTGTTTCTCTACCTAATTTGTTGTAGTCTTATTAACTGGGGTTGGTGTAAATTATTTTTAACTTTAGAAGACGAGTATTGGAGTGCCATCGGCTATCTGGTCTTGACAAATGTTTCCTGCTTGGCCCAATAATATTGTTTAAGTGGCTACAACAAGCCCACAAAGGAGCGGAGTATGTGATGTCCATCACCGATGATTGATTTTTTTTTTTTTCTTTCTTTTTGATAAATCTAATAATAAGTTATACAATAAAAAATAACTTCTTTTTTTTTTAATTCCTCCTCATTCAACATAAGATTCAAAGTTAAAATTTCTAAGTTAAAATCTCAAATTGTTAACTAGTTGAACCACCACTTTAAAACCCATCACCCATAATTGATAGTTAGGGCGTGTGCCAAGCTTATACCCTTCGATTATTGATAGGTAGAATCTCATATTATATCCTTTGATTATGCTTCACTATAGTGCTGGGATATATACAGAGAATCATATTGGTTGTAGTCTTTTAGAATTCATTACATTTTCCAATTTTTCTCTGATTAAAGTTCTTTAATAAGATTTGGGATACATTTATAACTCTATTATGCAATTTCCCGCCTTCTGTACATAGGCCCATAAAGCCCCAGCTCAAGTGGTTAAGAATCTAGAAGTTCGAGTTGTGGGTTCAGCCCCATATTTGCCAAGTTTCTTCGAGTTTTTCCTTATTGTGCTAAAGCCTAAATTATCAAAATTTGAATAGTATACCATGTATAGATTTTGTACTCTACATAACACAAATCCAAGGCATCAGCAGTGATCCATGTTATTATCCAAAAGGGATCCAGGAGTGCCCTCCATTAAGCAAGAAACTGGTGGAATGGTCAACGTCTGCAATACCCAATAAGCATTCCAACAAAAAGGTTCCCAAACCATGTATCCTTGAGCGGGAAGAAGCTCAATATTAGATAGGGTTATGTTGGTGCAAGGAACATTATCACCACAGGCAGAATGCATTTGTGGGCTTTGAATGTCCTATGTTCCTTCTATGCTTTCATAATGATTGTCTGATATTAGACACTGACGTTGTCCCGTTAGTGCATTCCTTGGTGAGTCAGTTGAACTGATCAATTATGAGAGGATTCCTAACATCTACTGACATGAATGATACACCTGAAACACTTTTGTGTGGGTAAATTAGTAACGAAATTGAAATTTCAAATCAAATATCATAAGTTTAAACCTTGAATAAGAAAAGGAAAGATTTGAGAAAATAAAAATTATTTCTTTTTATATAATCTATCATTAGATTAAAAAAAAAAAAAAAGAGAAGAAAGAGAAAACACTT